TGACCTACATTCTACCACATGGCTTTTACTTCTCTCCTGTTCTGTATGTCTGACTTGTTCTGAATCTGCTCTTTATTAAACCAATCAGTAGGTGCTTTGGCAAAGATACATCTTCACAGTATACAAAAAGATTATCCCACAATACAAAAATGCTTTGGATTGAGTATGTAAGCTAGTGAAACTCAGCATCTTTTAAGGTACTTGAGTATTAGTATTACAGATAATTTATAACTTAAAATGTATTTCCTTAAACAACTAAAGAAAATACGAGTGGCAGGGTGGTTGAGGGTGGCTCAGTAGGTAGAGTGCTTGCCCAGCATGCACAAAGCCCTGGGCTCCATCCGTAGCACCACAGAAGCAAGCATAGTATCTACAATACTAGCACTCAGGAGGTGGAGACAGCAGGCCCAGAAGTTCAAGGTCATCCTGGACTATACAGCAAGCCCAAAGCCAGCCTAGACTACATGAGACCCTGAAGAAAGGAGGAGGAGGCAGGGAAGGCCATCTAGAACAAAAGCAACTAGCTGTCAGTGGAGAGGATGAAGGGATAGGGAGAGACATTGTCAAAAAACTTCCCTTTAAGATTTATGTTATGCCGGGGGTAGTGGCCCACACCTTTAATCCCAGCACACTTGGGAGGCAGAGCCAAGCAGATCTCTGTAAGTTCGAGGCCAGCCTGGGCTACAGAGTGAGATCCAAAGCTGCTACACAGAGAAACCCTGTCTAGAAAAAAAAATTACGATTTATTATTGTATGTGCATGAGTGTTTTGACTGCACATGTGTATGGCACCAGGTTTGGGAACTGGCCTGGCTGGGCACTATGTTTGAGCACTGCATTCAGAGGCCAGAAAAAGGTGTCAGATGCTCCGGAACTGGAGTTATGAATGGTTGTAGACCACCCTGTGGGAGCTAAGAACTGAACCTTGATCTTTTGCCAGAATAATAAATGCTTTTAACTGCTGAGCCATCTCTCCAGCCTCAGAGAGTATGTAAAAATGTCTTCATGAAACCCAGTACTGCATAAAATGAATATGTACCAATTTTAAAAAATAATTTTAAAAATGACAAAAAAAAAAAGCTAAGGCTTTTGGAAGTTATTTACTCATGAAGGGGATGGCCAGGTCTCTACTTCACTAAGAGGCAGGAGCTTCCTGCTTCTTCTCTTCGTTCCTGTAGAGGCCAGCTTGTGCTAAAGGAGAATGCTGGGCTCTGATGACGGGATGGGTGCTCTTGATGGGGTGCTCTTGAATGACAAGGAGGGCCTCCTTCACCTAGTTTTTTCCTCTGAGGACACAGACAGGACAATAACTCTCCCATGGGCATGCTTTTGTCTTCCAGATTTCCCTCTTCCTATGGCCAGTCACATGACGGATGAACTCTTCCAGGAGACAAAGGTGGGTTCCACTTCCCAGGTTCCCAAGAACAGGAATGGGGAAAGATCCAGCTTCCCTTCCAGGTCCCTGGGGGATGGGGAGCAGGAGGGACTTGCCTGGGAGCACCACAATCATAAGAGAGTCCCAGGGTGTATGCAGCTCTTTTGGTTGCCTCTGGGGGCTCTTCCTACACACTACTCCAATAAGCAAGCCTCCTGTGATAACCACCACTAAATGCATGAGGAAGTTATGATTCAAATTCAGGTTGATCCCAGTCAGATTGTGGCTGTGTTTGCCTTTATTTTCTTATTTTATTTTTTTTAAGATTTATTTATTATGTATACAGTGTTCTGTCTGCATGTCTGCCTGCAGGCCAAAAGAGGGCACCAGATCTCATTACAGATGGTTGTGAGCCACCATGTGGTTGCTGGGAATTGAACTCAGGACCTCTGGAAGAGCAGCCAGTGCTCTTAACCACTGAGCCATCTCTCCAGCCTTTAAACCCAGTACTTAGGAGGCAGAGGCAGGCAGATTTCTGACTTCAAGGCTAGCCGAGTTTACAGAGCTAATTCCAGGACAGCCAAGGCTACACAGAAAAACACTGTCTTGAAAAACAAAAACAAAATTCGGGTTGGTCCCATTATGCCCTGGACATCTTTTCCATGGTGATATCCAGGACACATGTGTGCCACCCTCACACCGAACCCATGATGCACTCTTTGTCAGCCCTGCTCCTTAACCTTGCTGTTAAGTTCGAGCACACTGCCACGTTAGGCAGTACAGATTGTAGGTCACTCACCAATGCTCATAAGCAATTCCAATTTTTCCAGGCATGGTGGCCCACACTATTAGTCCCAGCACTGAGGACGCACAGGACAGGTGGGAGGTTCTCTGTGAGTTTGAGTCCAGCCTGGTCTACAGAGTGAGTTCCAGGACAGGCACCAAAACTACACAGAGAAACCCTGTCTCGAAAGAAAAAGAAAGAAAGAAAGAAAGGAAGGAAGGAAGGAAGGAAGGGAGGAAGGAAGGAAGGAAGGAAGGAAGGAAGGAAGGAAGAAAAGGAAAGAAGAGAAAGAAAGAAAAGGAAAAGAAAAAAAGAAATTCCTTTTTTTTTTCTTAAAATTTTATTTTAATTTATGTGTGTCTATATGGATGTATGCCACATGTGTACAGGTGCCCATGGAAGCCAGGAGAATGTCTTGGATAGCCTGGAGCTGGAGTTACAGGCAGTTGTGAGCCGTCTCATGTGGGAGCTGGGACCCGAACTCTGTTCCTCTAGAAGAGCAGCCAGTGCTGCGCCATCTCTCCAGCCCCAGAAACACCTGCGTGGAAAGACATTGCCCAGCTTTTGCTCTCTGTATGTAATAATCACACTTCATGGTCTGAGGAACAGAGGCTTCTTCCCAAAAAGGACCGGGTGGGAGGTTGGGGAATGCACAGAACATCTGTTACAGTTATGTAGATATCATGGTAAGGACCAGCAGAAAGGTGAGCATCCGAGGCCTATTCTCTAAGCTCCTGGCCTGGTGTTCCTTAGTCCATCCCCATCCTTGCTACCAGTAACAATGGCCGAAGGGCCTGGGGAGAGGGATGGAAGCCGTGCTGTGTCTCCCTTCAGGATTTGTGCCAGAAGAACGTAAGGAATTGCTGGATCGTTTCCTACTATAACCCCAGTGAGCCCATATGTGCCAGTGACCATGCCACCTACCACGGCGAGTGCCATCTCTGCTCCAGAATTCTGTAAGTCTCTGTTTCGTTATCCCTGCCTCAGCCGATTTCCATTAGCTCTTCCCGCAGACACCCCTCCACTACCTGCTCCCGCATTTCTTCCCTTTTCCCTCCTGCTCCTCGAAGTTGAGTGGGATCCTGTTCCAGCAATGCAGAAACAGGATGCCACAGAGGTCAGAGTGCAGTGTCTGGTGCAGAGAACCACCAAGTGGAGGGACCTCAGCAGCGAGTGGGCACAGCATTCAGACCACGTAACCACCGCCCAGGTGGCTCACCGGGCCGAAGAGCAGCCCGGTGATGAGGAGATGGGATGAGGAGATGGGCTGGGGAGACGGCTCAGCAGGTAAAGGCACTGGACTCCGAGCCTGATGACCTGACTTTGATCCATGGTGGAAGGACAGCCTTACATTCCAAAGCTGTCCTCTGACCTCCACACATATGCCACAGCAAACACGTGGCCATGCATATACACGAGCAAACACACGAATATACAACATAATTAAAACGCTTCTTAAGGAAGGGGAGGAAGAAGGGAGATGGGTGAAGAGGAGGAAGAGGAGGAGGAAGAGGTGGAGGAAGAGAGAAGGGAGAGGAAAAAGGTGGAGGAAGAGGAAGGGGAGGAGGAGAGTGGGAAGAAGAGGAGAAAGCTGGGTATGTTTCCCCAACTCATGGTTTATTGGTCTTTGAATGAATATTATTCCCCAAAACAACTTTTTAATGTTCTCCTGTCAGTGGTTCTGTTTGGGCCTGTGACATTTAGCTTTTGACAACATCTGTACAAAATGCCCGACTCTCTGGTCCATGGCACAGAAGTCTGCATTAAGGAACGGACAAACAAGTGGGGACTTCCTGGATAGAAGCTGCTTTCTCCAGGGAGGAAATCCACAGCTTGTGCACCACTCCCCAGTTAAGCCAATATCCGTGTTTTGTTTTGTTTTCAAACACAGGGTTTTTCTGTACAGCCCTGGCTGTCCTAGAACTCACTCTGTAGATCAGCTGGCCTTGAATTCAGAGATCTGCCTACCTTCTGCCTCCCAAGTGCTGGGATTAAAGGTGTGGCCACCACCGCCTGGTCCCCAGGATCTTGAGAGGAAAGAGAAATGACTTGAGACTGAGTCAAACATCCATCCTCTTGATAGTCCTCTTTAAGAAACAGAATAGTCTTCCTGGTCAGACGACAGATGCGGGGCCAAACAGGAGTCAGCTGTTCGGTGCTCTTGGTTGTATAAATACTAAAACTTACACTCAGAGCCCATAAAGAGTTGTGAAGTCAACGTGTGTGTCAGTCTCAATGACTGGCACAGGTAACTGCCAGTTACAGAGCAGTGGGGACCCACAGCACCACAGACCGAGAGACGTTGTTGTATACAAACTCACTTTTACTGTATTAAAAAGAATTCCGGCTTGAGGAAACGGCTCCGTGGGGAAGAATGTTTGTGGGCCCAGCCTGCCCATCAGAGTTCAGATTCCCAATACCCACACGAGGAAGCCAAACAAGGCTGCATGCAGCACCAGTGCTGTTGGGAGGCAGAGACTACTGGGATCCACTGGTTTCAGCACCAGCCAAGCTCTAGGATCAGTGAGAGACCCTATCCCAAGGGAATAAGGTAAAATGATATAGCGTAGGCTATCTCCTCCTCTGGTCTCCACATGGACACACAGTACAGGTCCCTGCACACACACATGTGTAGACAGCACACACATTCATCACACACACATATCTATATAAACACTAAATAAACACATAAAATTCTTTGCTTGATCTGTGGATATAGCTCAGTGGTTGAACTCTTACTCGGTATATGTGAGGTCCTGTATTTAACACCCCCAACAATTCAAAAATAATTATGGTGCACATCCATGATCCCAGCACAAGGGAGGTAGAGGTAGGCAGATCTCTGTGAGCTGGAGGCCAGCCTGGTCTACAGAGCAAGCTCTAGGCCAGCCAAGCTGTATAGGGAAGGGAAGATGGAATATATTCCCTTCTTCTTTGAGTGTCCACTGCATACGAACTATACCTTTACCCACTGTATACCAGTTAACACGGCAAAATTATCATATATCAGTTAACACAGGCATTACTATTGTACACCAGTTAACACAGGCATAACTACTGTACACCAGTTAACACAGGCATAACTACTGTACACCAGTTAACACAGGCATAACTACTGTACACCAGTTAACACAGGCATAACTATTGTACACCAGTTAACACAGGCATAACTACTGAACACCAGTTAACACAGGCATTACTATTGTATACTAGCTAACACAGTTATAATTATTGCTGTTTGCTTTTGAATCAGGAGAAAAAGATGTACAAGTAAAAAGTACATTTCATTGTCTTTTCTAGCTTCATAGGAGCTGCCCACTACTGGATCTCTGTTTCTCCACATGAATTCTAGTTTGTCTGTTTCACTTGAGACAGGGTCTCATTAAAAAACAATTGTAAGCTGACCTCAGACTTGCTATAGCCCAGTCTGGCCTCAGACTCAACCTCCTGGCTCAGCCTCCTGAGGGCTACGATTACAAGTATGAACCACTACACTTGATTTTCTGTGTATGAATTCAAGTTTCTGTCTAGAATCCTTTCATTTAAAAAAATCACATTTTATTTATTTGGGGAAGAGGGACTTGTACATGCCACAGTGTACACATGGAGGTCAGAGGTCAACTTATAGGAGTTGACTTTCTCCTTCCCATTTATAAGTTCTGAGGATGAACTCAGGTTGTCACCTTGGGAGCAGGTGGGTTTACATGCTGACCCATCTCACCAACCCTGTTAGAGAGTTTTGGTTCTTTAGGGTTTTTTTCTTTTTAACTAACTTTTTTGTTTTTGAGAATTTTATGCATTAGTACCATATTTATATCATTCCCACCCTTCCCTCTTTTCTAACTCCTTTGTGTCCCCTCCCAATCCCTCTCGATTTAATTATTATTGTTGCATGTAAACACACACACACACACACACACACACACATACACACACACACACACCCTCCTGAGTTCATTTATGTTTGCATATGTGTACTTGTGTTTAAGGCTGACCACTTGAAGTGGGATACCTAAGAGGGGCTTCCTCCTGGCAAAAACCGATCCTCATCCTCTCAGAAGCCATTGGCTGCAGGTCATCATCTAGGGGTGGGGCCTTGTGAGATTTCCCCTGTGGTCATCATGCAGATCTTGTTTCTCAGCAGTATGGTTGCCTGAACAAGACCAGTTGGGAGGTTTGTGATCACAGATTTAATGTCTGTATTTGGAGGTCTGCTGAGATGTTTTATTTCTTTTTTGTTTTTTTGGTTTTTCGAGACAGGGTTTCTCTGTGTAGCTTTGCGCCTTTCCTGGAACTCACTTGGTAGCCCAGGCTGGCCTCAAACTCACAGAGATCTGCCTGGCTCTGCCTCCCGAGTGCTGGGATTAAAGGCGTGCACCCGGCAAGATGTTTTATTTTTTTATCAGTCAGTTTAGGTAATTGTGTTTTAATGAAATTTTCAGTGTCTTCTAGGTTATCTAACTGATATATGTGTTCATGGTATTTTCTTAAGATTGTTCTATTTTTAATGGTGTGTGTGTTTGTGCAAGTGCACATGAGCATGCAAGTGCATATATGCACACGCACGTACACACACGAGCATGACACATGTAAATACAGATGCCTATGGAAGCCAGAAGAGGTCATTGGGTCCCCTGGAACTAGAATGTAGGCTGTGCCCAAATTCACCCTCTTCTGACCTCTGTGGATACACAGACATGCATGCAGGCAAAACACATATATACACACAATAAAATGAATACATTATATATATATATATATTAATTCACTGTTATTAACAAAATATTTCTTTCTTGACTTTGCCTAAGATTACCAAGAAAGAGTTGGTGATGGTTTATGGCATACAACAGAAAAAAGATAATCATTCCATAATATGATTTCTTCCAGATACGAAAGCAGAACCATAATTAAAATGCATGATGGAGAATGTGTAAGTAAAGTCACTTTCATTCTTTCATTTTAAAAAGTAAATCACATGTATTTAACAGCCCATTGTCAAGGATTTATGAGTGTGAGTTGTATGTGTGTGTGGTTTTTGTATGACTTCTTTATTGTTCTCTGCCCTGTTGCCTTGAGACAGGGTAACTCCCTCTCAGGATCCACCTCCCTCAGTTCCCCAATGCTACTTGCAGGGACTCACTGCCATCCCAGGTTTTTACTTGGTACTGGGAATTCAAACCCAAGTCCTCACATTTGTTTAGCATTTTCTCTATCCCTGAGACATCTCACCAGCCAGTTATCAAGGATTTGTAACACTATAACATGAATTCTAAACTGTCTTTTAATAAAAAATCCTGGTGCCAGATATTGGGGTAAATGCTGAAAGATCAGAGAGACAAAGGAACAAGCCACTGCCACGTCTCACCTCGCCAACTCCTCGGCCAATAGGTCTCTAGCTGAATGAGCTTCCTCAGCCAAAAAGGCTCCAGCCAAAAAAGCCTCTAGCTGAAAGGGACGCCGAAAAGTCTTTAGTTCCTGTCTCCTCACACCTTAGATACTTTTCTCAGCGCAGCCATCACTTCCTGGGATTAAAGGTGTGTGCCACCACTGCCTGGCCTTTCTCTATGTTTAATCTAGTGGCTTGTTCTGTTCCCTGATCTTTTGGCAAATTTTATTAGAGTACACAATATATCACCACAGTTAAGAAAACTGTCAAAATTCGGGCTGGAGAGATGGCTCAGCAGTTAAGAGATCTGGCTGTTCTCCCAGAGGTCCTGAGTTCAATTCCCAGCAACCACATGGTGGCTTACAACCATCCGTAATGAGATCTGGTGCCCTCTTCTGGCCTGCAGGCAGAACACTGTATACATAATAAATAAATACATCTTTAAAAAAGAAAAAAGAAAACTGTCAAAATGCATAAAGGGAGGGACAGTGGTAAAATGAAGCCCCTACATCTGTCATACAGATTCAAAAAATTGGGAGGTTTGGATTGGGTGGTGGTGGCACATGCCTTTAATCCCAGCACTACGGAGGCAGAGCCAGGCGGATCTCTGTGAGTTCGAGGCCAGCCTGGTCTACAGAACGAGATCCAGGACAGGTTCCAAAACTACACAGAGAAACCCTGTCTCGAAAAACCAAAAAAAAAAAAAAAGGAAAAGAAAATCCAACATACTGCCTATGCAGCTAGCCTAATCCACTGAGAAACAGAAAATAAGTGTATGTAACCAAGCCTAAAAATCAATGATAAACTAAAAGAAATCTGAACCTACAAGCTTGCTCTGACCAAACAGAAGATTCTTGTGTCTTACCCCTGAGGTTAGAGGCAGGTCAAACAAGGTGCAGGGTTATTATCCACGCACACTTCAAGGCGCAGAAAGGACTACTGGGCATCCAACACAGTGAATCTGCACGTGAAATAACACGGTCTTTGAAGGCTGAAAGCTGCCTGCTACCAGAATTCCTTCTTGCTCAGCATGAGAAGGGGGTGGAACTTGTGTCACATGAATTCGATCCCAGCACTCGGAAGCCAGAGCCCAGCCTGGTTTACTGAGTTCCAGAATAACTGGAGCCACACAGTAAAACACTGTCTCCAAAAACTAAAAAACAACAAAAAACAAGAAACAAAAATTATATGACTTAATAGAGAAACAATCTATTCTCCTGAATTATTAGTTAAAATTAAAACTATGATAGTCTTCTCTAAAACTATGTTAGACAACCTTTCCATGATTATTCCAGCTGATACTATATCTCTGATAAATGCATGAGTTAGACAGCTGGAAGAATCTGAAGGGATATTTTATCATCTCAACATTCCGTGTTTCAGGCAGAAAACAAGAATATGCATCTTTATTCATTTTTTCCCCTCATTTTTCCTTAGATTTTTAGGTTTTGTTTGTCTGTTTTTGTTTCTGAGATAGGGTCTCACTATGTAGCCCTGGCTATCCTGCCACTCTCTGTGTAGACCAGGTTGACCTTGAACTCACAGAGATCTGCCTGCCTCTGCCTTCAGAGTGCTGGAATTCAAGCCATGAACTACCACACCCAGCTTGTTCTTAATATGTCCTTAATATTCAGAAAAAAATGACAAAAGAAATAGGCAAAGACTGGAGAAAAGCCAAATCTGAAATTCTAGCACTTAGGAGGCTGCAACAGGAGGATTACAGATTTGAACCAGCCTTGCCTCCACTGTAAGACCCTGTTTCTAAAACAAAGATTGGAGACAGAGAATATGCACCTGGGCTTGTTCATGAGCTGACTGACATGTGAAGTCTGCTCAAATGCTCTGGAATAAGTGGACAGGTTCAAACTGAAACAATAGTGAGATGCCAGTTTACTGGCTACTGGAAAAAGTCAGAAGGCCGGGAAGTATCCAGTGCTGGGTGAGATAAGAGGTCAGGATTCTCACGACCTCTGGGAACTGTGAGCACTTAAAGTCATGGTGGAGAAAAATCTCACATGTTTTAGACAATGTAACGAATTATGTACATATGTATCTTATGGAGCAACATTTCTAACCTTGAAAATGACCAAGAAATGTTCTCATCACTTTGCGAAGTGACATAGGAATCTATGGCGGTGTTTATCATGGTGTGAAGCAAAAGAGAATGAATGAATGGATGGATGGATGGATGGATGGATGGATGGATGGATGGCAGTTCTTCTTCCCCAGAGACTTGCACAAGTTTTCTATCTATATCATAAACGGGAGGAGGGCTGGTTCTTACCCCTCCCCCAGCTCTCAGGCACTCTAAAGGCATACTTCCCAGTTATGTCTCATATTCAAATAAGCAGAGGTCTGGAGAGGCCATGTGATTTGTCTCAAACCCTCTGAGCTGAGAACTGAGAATATGGGGGTCTGTTTCCCATTCTGCTCTTCATACAGCCCTTGGCCTACCCCGTGGGTCACATCCCTCTAATCTAATACCTCCCATCTGCTCTGCTGGAGTGGAGTTCTGAGAGGCTCCAAGTCCCCAGAAGCACAGGCACCCACAGCCTGTGCTCTGCTCTGTTCACCTCTACTCTGGTGTCTTTTCATCCTTCAATGAAATCAGAATGTCTCTCAGTCTCAGTTCAGGGGTCAGCATCCCTCCTACTGGATTGTAGGTATGTACAGTGCAGTAGCTTGTCTCTTCATTTCACTGACTCCAATTCTCTAAGCAAATATTTCTCTTACAGATTTACTCCTTGGATGAGTCTGAACAGGAATAAAAGTTACTGGATCCTCAGATAGCCAAGTGAAGCATGATGGCTGAGTCTTCAAAGATACCCAATTTGGGGGTCAGGGCTGGAGTTCTTGGTAGAGGACTTGCTTAGCATGTATGAAGCTGTAGGTTCGATCTCCAGTGTTTGGAAGAAAAAAAGGAATAGCTCCTTGAGAAGTGCATCCTGGTAGTAGAAGATACTTGAATCAAATTCATTGATTTGCTTCTTCAATAAATGATTCTCAGCATAGCTTGGCTGGTAAACATTTTCTCAGTTAATAAGAACCTTTTTTTCCTTCAGACAGGGTTTCTGTGTAGCCCTGGCTGTTCTGGAACTCGGAGCTCTGCCTGCCTCAGTCTTCCGAGTACTAGGATTAAAGACATGCACCGTTACCACTCAGCAAGAACCATTTCAATATATCAGATATTCTATGTTCACATCCCTCCACATTTTCACACAGTGACCAAATAACCAATGAAATGCAAAATGAGGGAATAAATATCTCAGTAGCAGAAATATTTACAAACTGAGGGCTTTGGTCATAATTAAGTTGGATAGTTGCCCTGTTAACTGTATGGCTCTCGGCATGTCTCATAACAACTACCCATAAAAGGGATTCAGATTTGAATTATGTGTATGAGTGGTTTTGCCTACATGTACGTCTGTGTACCACAAGCATCCGCGATGCTGTAAAAGCCAGAAGAGGGTGTCATATTCCTACAAGTGGAGCTATAGATGGGTGTGTGACACCATGAGGGTGCTGGAATCAAACCCTGGCCTCTATAGAGCAGTAACTGCTGAACCACCTCTCCAGCTCCAAAGGTTTACTTTTATTTTTAAATTATGTGAATGTGTCTAGATGTGAATATGTGCAGGTGCCCACAAAAGCCAGAGGCACTGGACCCCTGGAACTTGAGTTACAGGTGGTTGAGCTACCTGACTTGGATCTTCTGCAAGAGCAGACATACTCTTAACCACTGAACTGTCTCCACCTTGGAATTCAGAGTTTTATTGAAAGAAAATTTGTTGGGCATGATATTGGAGTGATTCCTGGTGATGGTAGTGTTTCTCTGTACTTCTCAGTAAGGTATCTAAGGCTCAAAACAAACTTGAGCTGGGTCTCATGGAGCAGATCTGCAATCCTAGCTACATGGGAGACTGAGACAGAAGAATTGCAAATTCAAGGCATGCCTAGGCTATAGTTTAGGAACAGCCTGGGAAACTGTGGTGTACATATAGCTCTCAGGTAGAGTATTTACCAAGCATGTGCCAAGGTTCCCAAAACAGCACAGTATTGGTGGGGGTTTTTACTCTTTTTTGGGGGACCCACCACCCAGCTACCAAATAGATCACAAGTAGAGGCTTATTCTTAATTATGAATGCCTGGCCTTAGCTTGACTTAGTTTCTTGCCATTGTTCCTTAACTAAAATTATTCCGTCTACCTTCTCCCTCTGCGTTTCCTGGAACTCGCTTTGGAGACCAGGCTGGCCTCGAACTCACAAAGATCTGCCTGTCTCTGCCTCCCAAGTGCTGGAATTAAAGGCGTGCACCACCACGGCCCAGCTCCATTCTTTTTTTGTAAATCTTACCCATACTCCATTGCTGGTTGTGTAGCTGGGTGGCTGGCCCCTGAAGTCCTCCTCCTTCTCTGGCTGCTAGCTCTTTTTTTCCCCGATTTCTCCTTCTATATATACTCTCTGCCTGCCAACCTTGCCTATCCTTTCTCCAGCCTTGTTATTGGCCAGTTCTTTACTAGACCATCAGGTGTTTTAGACAGGCACAGTAACACAGCTTCACAGAGTTAAACAAATGCAACATAAACAAAAGTAACACACCTTAAAATAATATTCTACTACAACACAGAATCAACAAAACGACAACAAAATACCTGAGAAGTATATTTCCATTTCATTAAAAATCAAAACATCTTGCAGACTGCTAAAGGGGAAAAAGTCAGCAAGTCTTACCCAGCTGTGAACTCTGTGAACTCTAATAGTGACTAGCATGGCAAGATATGCCCCGTGAGTGCCATAGTGGCGCAAGCAGATGGGGGTTGAAGGCCTACTTCATAAGAGGCAGCACATGTGTGCTGTAATTCTGGCCAAGGGAGTGCAAATATCCTAAGAGCCAGAGGACCAGGCTGCCTGCTGCAGGATGGCGAATTCTAACCATGGCAGGGAAACTACACCCCTGAAATACCAACAATATTTTCCCAGAAGAGACCTGCATAATTGCAAAACCAGTTGACATGCCAACATAGATGAAGAAATTCCGTAAGTCCCCACCCCTGGGTTATCAATGCCAGCTGAGAGAATCAGTTTTCTCCAGGCACGAGCTCCCTGATAGCCTATCCAGTCTCAAGTGTTTAGCCCTACCTGTGTACATATGAACAGTCAGTACGTTTTATAAAAGTTAAAGGCAGTTGTGAGCCACCATGTGGGCTGTGGGAGATGAGCCCAGGTCCTCTGCAAGAGCAGCAAGTGTTCTTAACCATTGAGCCACCTCTCCAGCCCCTAATTTATTTTATTATATCTGTTTGTGTGTGCACATGCACACCACAGCACACATATGGAGATCAGAGGACAACCCGAGGATGAGGGGTGATTCTCTCTTTATACCATATGGATCCTGGGGATTGTACTCCGGTCATCAAGCTTGGTGGCAAATGCTTTTATCTACAGATCCATCTTGCCAGCCCATTATTAACCTCTTAATAGTTGATTTTTCCCAACTGAGTGTAGACTCACAAAATGGAGACTGAAAAACTACCATGGGAGGAATGAGAGGGGGATCTGCAGTTGGTATGTAAAATGAATTTTAAAAAAATGTTTTAAATATTTTTAATTAAAAAAAAGAAAGAAAAGCCACCATAGAATTTCCTGAATATGTAGGTGCAAAATAATGCTCTGATATCGTCCATGTTTTGGTAATGATATAGATGCTTATTGTTATTGCTGTTGTTTCAAGTGAAGCTCCTAAGTTTCAGTATTGAAGTAACAGAGTCAGAAGACAGGCATATTTGGTTCCCCCATTAAACTACAGTCTCTAACAGCTCCTTAGATTATCAATAGACCTAACAATTTGACCTCCACCTACCTGCCATTCCTTTTTTGGGGGGGGGGGGGGGGGGGTTGGTTTTTCCAGACAGGGTTTCTCTGTGTAGCTTTGGCGCCTTTCCTGGATCTCACTCTGTGGACCAGGCTGGCCTCGAACTCGGAGAGATCTGCCTGGCTCTGCCTCCCGAGTGCTGGGTCTAAAGGCGTGCGCCGCCGCCGCCGCCGCCGCCGCCACCACCCGGATTTTTTTTTTATTAAGAAATTTTCTATTCATTTTACATACCAACCACAGATCCCCTCAAATCCCTCCTCCCACCCCTGCCATTCCTTTTTGTTGGTTCTTTTTTTGGTTTTTGTTTTAATTTATTTATTTTTATTTTATATGCATTGGTGTTTTGCCTGCATGTATGTCTGAGAATGCCAGTTCCCCTGGAACTGGAGTTCCAGAGTTGTTAGCTGCCAGATGGGTGCTGGGAATTGAACCCGGGTCCTCTGAAAGAACAGTCAGTGCTCTTAATCGATGAGCCATCTCTCCAACCCTTGTTTTTATTTTTCAAGATAGGACCACACTATGTAGCTCTGGGTGTCCTGGAATTCACTATGTGGACCAGGCTGGCCTCAAATTCACAGAGATCCGCCTGCCTCTCCCTCCTGGGTGCTGGGGTTAAAGGTGTGCACCACCACTGCCGGGCTGTGCCCTTACTTTTATTATGCTGGTGTGTTGTTGAGATTGGTCAAAACAACCGCTAATGATGCAACTAGTCTCCCACTGGGTATGTGTTTTGTGTGCATTAGAAACCACACAGGCTGAAGAAAAACGGAGTTAGGAGAATCATTTTAAAGCTCGAGAAGTCTCATACTCCAGGTACATTAACGAGGATGACAACAGAAAGGAAAATTGGGCTTGGTCCATCTGGAAAGTAAAACTAAAGCAATGTCTGACTATGGTAAGGTTAATCTCACCCTGTGGAAACAGAAACGGACTCATGCTTCATCAGCCAGACAGGTAGAAGGACTATCAAGACTGGAGAAGGTTCAGTGTTCACGAGCACTCACAGATGGTGCAGAGGAGTTGGGTTCGATACCCAGCACCCACATGGTGGCTCACAAGCACCTGTAACTCCAGTCCCAGGTGAATGATCTTCTGGCCTCTGTTACTAACAGGCACACACACATGCTACACGGACATACATACAGGCAAAACACCATACATATAAAATAAATGAATGGATGTCACGCTGGAGAGAGCTCAGCAGTTAAGAGCACTGGCTGCTCTTCCGAGCCCCCAAGTGTAAGCTCAAAATCATCCTTAACTCCAGTTCCAACGGATCCAGCACCCTCTCCGGGCTCCATGGGCACGAGGCATGCATGTGGGTTATCATAAAAAAAAAATTTAAGTTTGTTTGTTTTAAATAAATGGGCCAGGCGGTGGTGGCGCACGCCTTTAATCCCAGTGGATCTCTGTGAGTTCGAGGCCAGACTGGTCTACAAAGAGTTCCAGGACAGCCAGGGCTACACAGAGAAACCCTGTCTCGAAAAATGAAAGAAAGAAAGAGAGAGAGGGCGGGAGGGACTTTTCTCAGGAAGACATCTTGTGTAAACAAGCTGTCTGTCAGCACTGCAGCCCCTCCCAACAATCCAGGAGTGCCACGTCTGCGACCCGAGTCCTGAAGTTAAATGAGCAAGTTTTGAACGGATTATTGTTCCCTCTCAATCTCAGTCACAGACGCGCGCGCGCCACTGAACTTTACCCGCCGCTAGGCAGTAGAACACACACAACACACACGGACACACGGACGGACACACACACACGGAGGCTAGGAGGGCTGCCCGACAACGTGCCTGAAGGACCCCGAAGGGCCCCGCAGGCTAACTAGCTCAGTGCCTGCTGGTCTAGAGCGTTGCCGGGAGGACCAGGTTCCCGGGAGGATCAGGTGAACACAGAACCCAGGTCTGCATTGGAGCCGGGGTAGCTGAGTTTGGGGTGGGCTTTGGCCCGGTGTAGAGAAGCCCAGAGAAGCCCAGATCGTAAGGTTTGAGGCCTAGAATGTGGAGGAAATAGGCGGTTCCGTAGTCAAGACTTTGGTGGGGGCGTGGCCACAGAAGTGGGGTCGAAGTAGTGTCAGAGACGATCCTGGGAGTAAAAGAAATGGCCTCAGGTGTCGGGCAGCTGGTAAAATTTTAACTGTCTGGTAGGGTGACCTTTGCGGCAAGCCACTTTCTTTTTTTCTTTTATTTTCTTTGGTTTTGGGAGACAAGGTTTCTCAGCTTAACCGCTCTGGCTGTCCTCGAACTCGCTGTGTAGACCACGCTGGCTTCGAATTCACAGAGATCCTCCTGCCTTTCTTTATATGACAGTATTTTCTTGTAAACCAATAGCCGACAGCCCTAACCAACGGGCGTTTGTAGAGGAACCACACCCCCTCTATAGGTCACCCGTCCTCCCTTGCAGACCTCTTAACAGTCTGGCCCTGGGATGGCTGGATCAAGTTCATGCACTGATTCATCCAGCTAAATACTGTGGAAAGCCAGGTCCGTACTGGGGACCCTGTATAGGAACTAAGGTGAGGATGGTGAATGAAACAGACCCCTGCTTTCACGAAGCTGGGCTTTAATGGAGAAGATGTAGATGAAAGAAGCGTTTGAGCCCTGAAAGTCTGCCTGGAGAAGTGAGCTGGGTGCAAATGGGCAAAGAGGACATAACAGGGATGCAGACGAGCGATGGAGACACTTCCTTACACAAAGCTTGTCAGGCTAGAGACGCATGGCACTGGAAAACCTATGAAGCTGGAGCAAAAGAGTTAAGGGGTGTGGGGCTCCAGATGAAGCCAAAGAAGTTAAAGTCTTCTGGGACCAGAAGACCCAGGGACCAGAGCAGGTTAAAGTCTGGGTCTTCAAAAATCAGAATACTGTCGAGGGTTGAGGAGGGCACTGTATAATTAGCTTTTATTACTGTGGCTGCTGTAGAACAGATTTAGAGAGTGTCAAGAGTAAAAGCCTAGACACCATTGAGGAGGGTGTCACAGAAGTCCCAAAGGCAGTTAAAAGGAAGAGATTTGTATGGACTTTGAGATATAGTATCTAGGTAAGACTTTGAGAAGTTGTGTGGAGGTGGGGAGTTGGGACTGGAGGGCTCAAGGACATCCCCATGTGTACTTGGCCACAGTGCCATGTTATCATCTAGAATGTTATTAGGTGAAGTGGGTATGCAGATCCTGTGCTGCTTAGATTGGGCTTGGCTACATCGTTTGAATGGAACATCCAGTAATAAGCTGTGGAGAAGACTTGAGTGGAAGAGACCTTAGCATAGTTTCTTTGTTTCTGCCACCCCCTGGCACCACCACCATGATCGGCTAAGCTATGTGCAGGAATGAGAGTGTCACCTGACTGAGCTCTGCTCCCTGGACACCTCTGGGCTTGCTAACAGGTTAGAGAAGATATTTGAGGCCATGGTTGGTTTGGTATGGTTTGGTTAGGGTCTGGCTGTGTAGTTCAGCTGAGCAGTCAGCCTCTAAGGGCTAGAATTGCAGGTATGTGCCTTTGCGCCCAGCTGACATCTCTCCTCCTGCAGAAGTGGTTTCTCACATGTAAGTAGAATTTCACAGTTGGAGGTGACCTCTGATGCTTAACCAAGTCTAGAAATATTGTCTGTTATGTTATTTCCACAAGTATTGATTGAAATCACTTACAAAATACTGAACACTGGGAATATAAAGGTGAATAGAAATAAGGCTATGCTGTCACTTCATTTGATCAGTAACATCGACTTGAGCCTCCTTATGCCACATACTGTTCAAGCTGCTTCACATACAGAGGTTCAGCCAAGCCATGACAGTTGTCTAAGTCTGTCGACTGAGGGCAGCTGAGCATGTTAACAGATGTGGTTTGGGCAGAGGAGACCATCCATAATATTAGATAAGCAATGGTGTGTGGCCCTGAATCCTTTGTCAGTCAGTCTTCCATCCCTACTGTGGATGGAAGAACACTGTGGGATAGGACCTTACAACAGTTATTATTGTTGCTTGTTTTTGCTCTTTTCCGGGAGCCCGTCATCCAGCTCCCAAATAAATTCACACGTGGAGACTTATTCTTAATTAGGAATGTCTGACTTTAGCTTGGCTTAGTTTCTAGCCAGCTTTCCTTAACTTAAATTATCCCGTCTACCTTTCGCCTCTAGGATTTTCCCGTTCTCTTACTTCCATAAATCTCACTCTGACTCCGTGGCTTGCTGGTTGTGTAGCTGGGTGGCTGGCCCCTGGAGTCCTCCTCCTTCTCTGGCTGCCCAATCTCTTTCTCCCAGATTTCTCCCTCTTCATATTCTCTCTGCCTGCCAGCCCCGCCTATCCTTTCTCCTGCCTTGCTATTGGCCAGGTCTTTATTAGACCATCAGGTGTGTTAGACAAGCACAGTAACACAGCTCCGCAGAGTTAAACACAAACAAAAGTTACACACCTTAAAATAATATTCTACTACATATTGTAGTATTTTATTTTATTTTTGTTTTTTTGAGACAGGGTTTCTCTGTATAACAGCTCTGGCTGTCCTGGAACTCGCTTTGTAGACCAGGATCACTTCAAACTCACAGAGATCTGCCTGCCTCTGCTTCCTGAGAGCTGGGATTAAAGGCATGTGCCACCACTGCCCAGCTAAGTCATTGTAGTCTTCAGGCTAGACTGTTCAAGAGTAGACATCATAAACCTTATTAAAAACACAAAAGAGTTTAGAAGATATGAAGGTATTGGCAAAATCAGGTGGTAGTATCAGCTTACATTTCTCTTCAATGCAGCATAACCCAGACCGTATGTCTCACAGGGTAACCTGAGTGTCCCCTCTACAATTTCATGCATGCAAATAGGCAAATGAATAGGTATCATATACAGCCTTACAGTATAACAACCAAACGATCTGTGAGTCTTGGGTGAAGGCCTTGGTTGACTTGCAAGGCTAGATGGCCTCCAGGGTAGAAGGGGTTGAGAGCTCAACACTGTGGTCCTTAATCCAGCTCTCTGATGGCAGGGGTGAGATGACCTCCATCTTGCGAAGTCCTCAGGCTCTCCAGCTCACACTAGCCCTGATCAAGCCTGATGCAGTTGCTCATCCCCTGATTCTGGAGGTAAGAATGAACCCTGCGCCTCCACTGCCCTGTTTCAGAACCAATTGTGACAGTTAACAACTCAGTCATGTGCTAGATGCTGAGATGGAAAAGTAGATGGATCAGCTTCATTGTTCAGCAAATAAAGCTTTGCTCGAGTGTGAGCCATGGATCTCACATGGTGGAAGGAGAGAGCCAACTCTTGCAAGTTGTCATCTGACCTACACACACATACACACACACACACACACAGACACATACACACACAGACACACACACACACACACATACACATACACACACACACATACACATACACACACACACACACACAGACACACACAGACACATACACACACATACACACACACACACACACACACACACACACACACACACATACAAATAAGAAAAGCTAGCTGAGGAGACTGAAGAGATGTCTCAGTGGTCAGAAGCACTGGCTCCTCTTCCAAAGGACCAGGGTTCAATTCCCAGCGACCATATGGCAGCTCACAGCTGTCTGTAACTCAGACAGCTGAGTTACAGAATCCCCAGTTCTAGGGGATCTGACATCTTCATACAGACATACATGCAAGCAAAACACCTTAGGACATACGTAAAGTACAAGAAACAGTTTTTCTGCGTTATTTTATATTTTTATTTATTTTACATGAGTTCTGGGGAGTTGAATTCAAGTCCTCGTGCCTGCACAGCAAACGCTCTTACCCACTGCACCTTCTTC